TTCAAAATCATCGAACCAAGTTCATGACATAAAAGTTCACACAAACAAATGGCACATCAACAATCATGCCTCATCCTCACCTTCGTCCTCCTCTTCCTCCGATTCTTCATCGTCATCTTCGTCCTCCTCTTCCTCTGATTCTTCCTCCTCCTCTTCATTGTGTCGCACCGCATCATCATGGGGGGCCCGGAAGGTGTTGGCAAGATCTCCATTGGCATCATGCGAAGGTATGTGAGGCACACCGGAAGACATGCGTCCACCCATGTCACCAGGAGGTGCTCCCATGCCTCCCATGAGACATGCAAAACTCATGCCTCCCATGGTAGCTCCTAAGCTACCCATGCCTCCCATGCCGCCCATGGTAGCTCCGAAGCCACCGATGCCTCCCATGCCACCCATGCCGCCCATGCTATCCATGGTCTTTTTTGGATCAAGACTTCTTCACGGGCAAGATTGATGTACTTCTTTTGCTTCTCATCGAGGGTAGATGTGTCCATGAAGAACAAGTACTTCTCCCATTCCAACTATATAGTTCGCTCCTCCATGGCCAATTTCTTCTCCTCCAATGCCACCTTCCTCTCCTCGGCCGCCACCCTCGTCTCCTTGGCCGCCAACCTCCTCTCCTCGTCCACCGGATCTTGGTTCCTTGCCATCTTCCTCACCTCGTTTGCTTTCTTTCTTGCGTTCACAATAGCTTCCATGGCATTTTTTAGCTAGTAGTCTCCTTTCCTCCTCTTCTTTTCGTTTCTGTCTTTCTTGCATCCATTTGGTCTTTTTGGCTTGGAGTACACAACCGAGTTTGGTGTAGGGCTTCTCTTTCGTCATCACTTGATGCCTCCTCGTCATCATCATCCAAATCAATACTTCGCTTGTTGCTCTCCTCATCATCGACACCATCACGGGGCTTCCATTTCTCATCATCCTTCAACGCATCATAGCAACGAGGCAAGGTAAATGGTCTCCCTTTCTTGATCTTCCCTTTCTTGGTCTTCTTCTCCTATTCTTGAAATAAGTTTTGTGCAATAGTGAGGTACAAACAAAAGAACAAGTTAGCACTTGAAACACCAAGAAAAAGCGTGATGAACATGGAAGAATCATTAAAGAAATGGCACTTACCCTATCTCTATCATTAGTGCCACTTGGGTTTAACGTGTCAACCGCCTTAAGTGCGGCCGCCCACCTTTGACAATCTCTGTTGATTGTTGACCACCGGAAGCGAAGAGATCTTTCTGAGAGGTCAATTCCACTTTTGTTGTGTAAATCAAAGTGTTCCTTCATCCGGATCCAATATGCATCTCTACTTTGATCCCCTCCAATGGTGGCATCCCTCGACACTTGCAACCATGTATTGCATAGCAAGATGTCTTAGTCCATGGTGTAGTTGCCCGCTCGTCCTTTGAGTGCAATGATGATACCCTCACCATCCTCTTCCACCTCAAACTCATGATCACCGAAGTGCACATCATTGGTTTGAGACCAATGAGAATTGTTGGAGCCAACGCCCATAGTTGACATATATGTCTAATCACTGAAACTACAAAGTATATACAACAAAGCAAATAAGCTATCCATATGTATGCATTCAAAAAAAAATGGGCAAAATTTTACCTTGTGGGCATTTCATCGAACACCTTGTGTGCATCGGCCCCCGGCGCAACAAGCGAGCTCACCGGCGCTTCGGTCGCTGCCGCATCCGTCGCACGCCGTACAAGATTCTTCTTTGGCCGCCTAGAGGAGTCGTCCGCCGCCTTGTTCTTCTTCCCGGACACCTTGTCCGCCTTCGCCTGCGTTGCATTGGGGAGCATCAAGAGGGGGGCATGTGGCTTCACGGCGGGCGCCGGCGCGACGCCACCCGCCGCCGAGGTCGTCCGTAGTGCCATGAAAAGGCCGCGCGCGAGACCGGTGCTTGGAGGAGCACCAGCGAAGGCGAAGCCAAAGCTGCCCGCGCTAGGGTTTGCGCCGGCGGCTGTGGAGGGGTCACGGGTGTAGGAAAGGGTGAGGAGGATGTCGACGCGGCCGTCCATCGAGTAATTCGCCAGCGGCGGCGCGGGCGGGCGAAAGCGACGCGGCGGAGAGGGTGCGGCGTGGGCGCTCAAGTGTGCAGCGCGCGGAAGCAGGTGCACGAAATAAGCGCCGCGCGATGCCGTTCCGTCCCGCGCGCTGAACCACTTATGCCGCACTTGTGTTTTTTGCGCCTCCGCTGGAGCGCCCAGAGCGGCTGCGCACGCGCAGAAATCTGTATTTTTCTAGCGCGGCGCTTATATCGCGCGGCTGTTGGAGATGCTCTTAACCCAGAATTTCCAGCAGCTGATGATGGGCACCTCTTGCCTGAAGATCTTGCATTCCGCAGAGTCCAAATTATTGAACAAGCTTGAAAGATGATATACAAAGCTATTTCCTTAAGGTGTGAAGAGTGGATGAGAAGGATGTCATCAAAGCTTGATATGCCCAGTTTTTTAATCGGAACAATGCTATTCCAACATTTTTTTAGCAAAAGAACAGTCCCCAAAAAGGTGCCTCAGTGTTTCTTCAGTGTGTTCATTACAATAGACACAACCATAGCAATCTGAATGCATGTTCTTCCTCTTAAGGACATTCCTAGTGTTAAATCTGTCATGTAGCAACATCCAGAAAAGGATTTTATGCCTTAACCCATCAGATGTCTTCTAGACCCATTTGAACAGATAATTGTCTTGAGTCCTAGAACAGATGGATTTATACATCTTGATTGAGGAGTAATGTTGGTTTTACCCAATTCCCCTCCAAGTATCTTTCCTCCGCGCAGGCCAATGTGTTATTACTAATCCTTCCAGTTGAATCAGTTGACCGTAGAGTTGCTCAGAAAGTGGTGTATGCAACAATTGGTGGGGGTCTCAGATCGGATCCATCTCTTACACACATCTGGGACTCTCGTGTTCCTAGTAGGGTTCGAGTGTTTGACTGGCTTTTCTATCTGGACAGGTTAAACACGCGGGCACATCTCCATCGCAAGACCATCATCGACTCTCCATCATGCCCATGTTGCAACGCCGCGCCAGAAGATCGTGCTCACCTTTTCTTCACATGCCCATCGGCTGCCTCCATTTGGGGTGCCATAGGGCTGCTGCCCCGTCACTCTCCCCTGTCCGACTTATGGAACACGCCGGTTGAGCATAGCCTACCTCAATCAATCTGGCCTTTTATTTTGCTACTCATTTTCTGGAAAATTTGGGACGCTCGCAACGGCAAAACATTTAGGGACTTGTCCCCTTCTCCGTGTAATGTAATTAGGGCTATTATCTCTGATCTCACTCTATGGTCTTTAAGGCGGATAAAAAAAATCCACGCCGGATTATGGCAGGAATTTTTCACCTCTTGTCTTCTCTGAACTACTAATGTT